TGAAGAGTCAGATTTAAATGTGATTTGGGATAAGTCTATGAGTTATTCTCTCTATTATGTTGCCATAGCTATTGGAGTGGGAATTATTTCCGTCACTCAAGTAATAAAATAGTTATTATTGTTTAGAGATAATTACTAATTATTTCCATTGATAGATAACAATGTTAGGCATTGCGGCCGAAAGATTAACCATGAGGTTAAGAAAAATGGCATTCGGGGCTATATTGAGACAAGAGATCGGATGGTTTGATAAGATAGAGAACAGTACCGGCGCTCTGTGTGCGAGACTCTCATCAGATGCGGCCAATGTTCAGGGCGTAAGACATATAAAATGAAGATTTTTAGTAAATAGTGATATTTTGAAACTAACAATTAGGCGTCGGGTTCTCGTATGGCAATTATATCGCAAGCGTTTACCACATTTGTCACGTCAGCGATTGTGGCCTTTTATATCAATTGGAGACTAAGTGCCGTCACCTCAGCCTTCATCCCATTCATAGTAATCGGCGGCGCTTTTGCCGCTACTGTTGATAATCTGGAAATGAAAAGCGGTAAAGAGGCGAATGAGATGTCATCGAAGATAGCGATGGAAGCGATCGGTAGTATTCGTACCGTCGCTTCACTTCATCAAGAAATGTATTTTTTCTCTAAATATACGGATATACTCGTCAACAAATTAAAGTAAATATGATTTATAAACACATTTATAACACGTGTAATATGTATTAAATAGACTTCTGGCCAAATAATCTGATCCATACTGTAGTCAAAAATAATTACCTTTTTATTGAATATTTTACAGAATTTCTAAACGAAAGTATTATTTAAGAGGACTTTTCTTATCAAACGCAATGAGTATACTATTGTTGGCATATTCTGTGGTCTTTATATATGGAGGAATATTGATGACCAANTTAGTTTGGGTTCACATAATGCAAGTGTCACTCAAAAGGACATAGAAGTGGCGGCCATGGAGTCCAACGCTCACGAATTTATCAGTAAATTACCGGACAATTACTCGACATATGTGGGCGACAGAGGGGCGCAACTGAGTGGAGGCCAAAAACAACGGATCGCAATCGCCAGGGCTTTGATTAATAAGCCCAAGATATTATTGCTGGACGAGGCGACCTCTGCGCTCGACTTACAATCCGAAGCGTTAGTCCAGTCGGCACTGGACAAGGCCTCAAAGGGCAGAACCACTATTATTGTCGCCCACAGACTGTCAACAATTGTCAATTCAGACAGAATTATATTCATAGAAAACGGACACGTCTTGGAAACGGGAACTCATAGAGAATTGATGAACAAAAAAGGATTGTATTTCAATCTAGTTATCACACAACAGATGAGCAGTAAAAACAAGATAATTGTTCCCAAAATCCAGAATCCTTACGACGACGTGGATAACGATCCGATGTCTTATAAGCCAGCGATGTTTAGGTCTATAAGTGTTATCAGTAGTTCAGCCAATTCAGCGCTCAATAGCAAAATTCACGACAACATTGAGCCCGAAGTAGTGGAGGAAGGGCTCAAAAATTTCTCCCAAACCAGACTCTTAAAAATGCTTGCAATCGATAAATATTATATATTTTGTGGGCTTTTTTGTTCGCTGTTGTATGGATTTGTTGTTCCCGTTTATTCCTATTTATTTGGTTTATTAGTCGCTGTCTTCGCTGAAGAGTCAGATTTAAATGTGATTTGGGATAAGTCTATGAGTTATTCTCTCTATTATGTTGCCATAGCTATTGGAGTGGGAATTATTTCCGTCACTCAAGTAATAAAATAGTTATTATTGTTTAGAAATAATTACTAATTATTTTCATCGATAGATAACAATGTTAGGCATTGCGGCCGAGAGATTAACCATGAGGTTAAGAAAAATGGCATTCGGGGCTATATTGAGACAAGAGATCGGATGGTTTGATAAGATAGAAAACAGTACCGGCGCTCTGTGTGCGAGACTCTCATCAGATGCGGCCAATGTTCAGGGCGTAAGACTTATATAAAATGAACATTTTTAGTAAATAGTGATATTTTGAAACTAACAATTAGGCGTCGGGTTCTCGTATGGCAATTATATCGCAAGCGTTCACCACATTTGTCACGTCAGCGATTGTGGCCTTTTATATCAATTGGAAACTAAGTGCCGTCACCTCAGCCTTCATCCCCTTCATAGTAATCGGCGGCGCTTTTGCCGCTACTGTTGATAATCTGGAGATGAAAAGCGGTAAAGAGGCGAATGAGATGTCATCGAAGATAGCGATGGAAGCGATCGGTAGTATTCGTACCGTCGCTTCACTTCATCAAGAAATGTATTTCTTCTCTAAATATACGGATATACTCGTCAACAAATTAAAGTAAATATTATTTATAAACACATTTATAATGTAATATGTATTAAATAGACTTCTGGCCAAATAATCTGATCCATAGTCAAAAATAATTACTTTTAATTGAATATTTTACAGAATTTCTAAACGAAAGTATTATTTAAGAGGACTTTTCTTATCAAACGCAATGAGTATACTATTGTTGGCATATTCTGTGGTCTTTATATATGGAGGAATATTGATGACCAAAGGAAGCATTAAATCCGGAGATTTCTTCATGTAATTCTAATATTAATGTAATTAATTAATTTACTTTATTAACAACTATTTTGAATTATTAGTGTAATTGAGACTCTCATATACGGCGCCTCATCTGTGGGTCAGAGCACTGTATTTGCATCGGACTATCAGAAGGCAAAGGTTGCGGCCGGAAATATGTTTAAATTGATTGATAGACAGCCAATCAGTGCTACCGATAGTTGTCTCGTAACAGAGAAACCGGACAAATGTGAAGGAAATGTTACATTCAGGGGCTGTTTCTTTAATTACCCGAATAGATCCGAGGCTCAGATCTTGAATGGCTTGACGTTTAAGGTATCCAAAGGAGAAACAGTGGCGTTAGTGGGCGCGAGTGGTAGCGGCAAAAGTACTACCATTCAGTTATTGGAAAAGTTTTACGATTTAAGTCGTGGAAAGATTGTATGTGTTTATTAAATGTTTAATATTTGTGACATTACTGTTATATTTAATTAAATAATTTGAACAGTTTCTGGACGGCAAGAATATAAACACATTGGACACGGAGTGGATGCGCTCACAAATGGCTCTCGTCTCTCAAGAGCCCAATCTATTCAGTTATAGTATCGGCGAAAATATCGCTTACGGCGACAATTCCAGGACAATAACTATGGATCAGATTGTATCGGCCGCACAGAAGGCCAACA